AACTCTCGCTCCTAACGAGAGAAACCGCTATATAGTATATACTAATCGCTAGGGACCGGTATCTCAGCTAGGTCCTAGATATAACGTTAGTACCGAAGGTTAGGTAAGGTAAGTTAATATCCTCCTTTTCGTTAAGAACGAGAAGATTGCTAATAAATTTAGGGATTATTGCTAGCGCCAAAACCGTAGTATACCTAAGTATAATAGCTACTAGGCATCCAACGACGCTATACCTAGCGATAGAAATATTCCTCTTAGCCTTAATCCTATTGATCTTATACTATATAGTTGTGCCTAGGCCGATACTATAGTAGAACTTTAGGTAATTCTCTAGGGTATCTGGACCTAGCGTCAAACGAATAACAAGATTGCGGTAGGAGAGAGAGAGTCTTCGTTGAAAACGAAAAGTACTAATAAGTTCTAGAAAATGCCTCGTTTATCCCGTACTGCCCTCCGCCTCTCTATTAAGCAACTTGCAGAGCAGCCTATCTCTTAGGCCCTTCTTACAAATACTAGTTCTTTAAGAAATACTCTTACTAACCGCCCGAATATCTATATTAACGACTAGCCGGCAAATACCTAAGAATTCGTTTGAAGCGAGAAGTTAGGGAGAGGGGAGAGAGGAGAGGGGAGAGGGGAGAGGGGAGAGGGGAGAGAGGAGAGGGGAGAGGGGAGAGGGGAGAGGGGAGAGAGGAGAGGGGAGAGGGGGAGAGGAGGAGAGGGGGAGAGAGGAGAAAAGTTCTAGTACTTACTTTAGAGAATTTCCTATATATTCGGTATAAACGAGAAGATAGATGTAATATACTTTGGTACGATATACTTTAGTACGATATACTTTAGTACGATATACTTTGGTACGATATGCTTTAGTATAATATACTTTAGTACGAAATACTTTAGATACATATTTCGCTGTAATGCTGTATTACGTTGATAACGAGATATAGGGGTGCGTGACGTAGCATTATGTCTAGGGCTGCGATTAGACGAATCCAAGGGCTGCCCATAGCCCCGCCGATTCATGCCCGCTGACTATCTCCTCTTGGCCCCGACCGACGTGGAATCCCCTTGTACTTTGAAGCAATTCCAGCCAGGAGCCGAAATCCAAACGAAGTCTCCCCCATATGCCAGCAAATCAGAATTCATGCTGAGAGCAGCACTCATTATGAATACTTGCTGTGTTATTGGTTCGCGGACCTTATCGCGGGGGATGCAGAGGGCACAGGAAGGGGTTGAATGGATGATGATGATGATGATGATGATGATTGCTCTCATCACATTGCTACCATCCATTCTTTTCCTGCCCGTCTGCCTTGTCTGCCGTTATCCTTCAGCCTCGATGGAAGCGCCGTCTGCCACCTATCACAGACATGGCCGCTCCATCACTACGCGTGCCTGTACTACCTACCTTCCTGAATGTGTCTGACGATCTTCGCCATATTGCCGCGGGAAGAGTAGATAGGTCGTCGATAGGAGAAATGCGTTGTTTGTTGCTGTAAGTCTAGTCGCGCAGCTTTTCCTTCTTGCTTCGTCCATTTCATCAAGTAGTAGCAGTAGCAGTAGCAGTAGCAGTAGGACTACTAGTAGTATTACGAGAACGCAAAACGAGACACATCAACCAGTATGGCGTCCTCCACGTCCAACGAAAAGGAAGTAGTGAAGACGACAGCCTCGACCTCCTCTCGCGGCCACGACGAAGCAGAAGTCGGCCAAGTCGAAGAACTCAGCAGCAGCAGCACCGCCGATGTCGATGCCGCCCTCGACTTCCTCCGCCACGAAGGCCCAGTTCGTGAAATGACAGTCGAAGACGAGAAGCGTCTCGTCCGAAAAATCGACTGGATGATTATGCCGCTGATGTGGATGTGCTACTGTCTCCAATACCTCGACAAAACACTCATCAATTACGCCAACGTCATGGGTCTCGAAGAAGATACGAACATGTCCAAGGACGAATACAGTCATCTGGCATTGATTTTCTACGTCTCCTATCTGGCCTTTGAATTCCCGCATGCGTATGGAATGCAGAAATTGCCGACGGCGAGATATATTGGCACCATGGTGTTCTTCTGGGGTGTCATTGTGGCCGTGACTGCTGCTTGCACGAATTATGGTGCTCTCGTCGCGACGAGAGTTCTCCTGGGAGTGTTTGAGTCTGCTGTTGCTCCGAGTCTGATTTTGATTACGAGTATGTGGTATAAGAGGAACGAGCAACCGCAACGAGTCGGATTGTGGTATCTGGGAACGGGAACGGGAACGATATTTGGCAGTCTCATCTCCTACGGATTCCAGCACGTAAACAGTCGGACGTTCTACTCGTGGCAAATTATGTTTCTGGTATGTTTTTGCTCACATCGAGTGCTTTTTTAACAAGTACCTATATACTGTTACTATGTATGCTGACACGATACCCAACCATATGCAGACAGTCGGTCTAATCACCTGCGTCGTCGGCATCGCAACCTTCTTCTTCCTCCCCAACACGCCCATGTCCTCTCGCCTCACGCACGAAGAGAAAGTCTGGGCAGTCCTCCGCCTCCGCGAAAACCAAACCGGTATTGAAAACACACACTTCAAACCTCCACAAATGATCGAATGCTTCCTTGACCCGCAGACCTGGCTCCTCTGCCTCATCACCATCGCCTCTTCCGTCCCCAACGGAGCCGTATCTAGCTATCAAGCCACCATTATCAAAAATTTCGGCTACGACAGCAAAACTACCGCGCTCCTCTCTATCCCTTCCGGCGCCGTGGGCATCGTGTCAATTCTCATTTCCACGCAACTCGCAGGAAGGTTCAATCAACGCGGATTGCAAGTCATTGTATTATTGCTCATCGGAGGAGTCCTCGGGGGTTCTCTCATGGCATTTTTACCAGCGAATGATAAAGCGGGAAAACTCATTGGGAATTATCTCACCAATGCTATTGGTGCCAGTTTACCTTCGTTGTACTCGTGGGTCGCGGCGAATTATGCTGGTCATACGAAAAAGGTAAGTTGGTATACTCTTTTTTTTTTCTTCTTCTGCCTCCTCTATCCATAACCGTGAAAACCAAACACATCACAAACTTCGTGGAGCTGATTATAACCTTTTCTTTTTTTGCGCAGGTCACAATGAATGCCCTCCTCCTCATGTCCTTTTGTCTCGGCAACATTCTCGGACCCCTCACCTTCACCGCCCAGTCCTCTCCTCAGTACATCCCCGCCAAAGTGACCATCATCGTGGTCTGCGCGGTCTCCTGTATATTCATTGGAGTGCTGCAGACCTATTACGTTTTCGAGAATCGACGCAGAGACAAATTGGAGGCCGACGGAGGGATGGTGTACGAGAGTGATGTAGAGTTCAAGGATAAGACGGATCGAGAGAATATGGGGTTTCGATATCGGTTGTGAGAGCCAGCCTCAACTGGATAGAGGCTTGAGAGAGCTGTAGTAGGGCTTTTGACGATAGAGACATTACCTAACCTCCTTGCAGCGAAGATGATATGAAGACCTTTCGGCAAAATCCGTGGTCCTCGCCAGATGAAAGTGAAGGCTTTCTAGATCCGACAGCCGATGCATTTTGAACTTGCTCACTGCTTTTCCGTCGGACGTGGTCTTGTGTTTTCTTTTCGCATACCGTGTGCCATGTTCCAAGAATAGGATGATCCACACTGGCGTCGTGCTACACAATAATCTGCATTGCGGCTATTCTTGTACTTTCGACGGGTCTGGACAGGAGGTTTCGAACAACAATACCATCATCCATCAGCAAAGCAGGTTAGTCACATGTGCAAGCAGTCTCAGTCTCCCTTCCTCCCTCTCTCCTCCCACCATTCCTTCATTCATGCCGCCGCTCGCCGCCGGATTCGGATAGGGCCTCGAACATCTTCAGGTCCAACATCACCCACAGACTCGCCCTTTTGCACAATCTCACACATTCCCTCCTGGCGCAGCAGCCACGCAGTCTCCCGAATGGCCGACATGGCATCTCGCCATTCGCCACAAGCAAGCTGCTGGAGCTCTTCTGCAGTCAGCGATCGGGCAACTTCTGACGGACAAAATGTCTTGGGTGGCTCTCTGTTTCGCAAAAAGTCTTCTAGGCGGCGTTTCAGGATCTGCCCAGCTGCCTCCTCCTCCTCCTCCCCGTCGGGCATCATTATCATCATCAGTACCTCTGTGTGTATGTGCTGTGGTACCACCTATACTTGTGATCCTCGTGGCCGCCCCGCCTCCTCCACAAGACGCTAATTATAATGATTATAATGATAATAATAATCAGCTGGGAGAACGTTCCGTGCTTCCTCCCTCCAGCTCGCTACCGAGTCGCCACCACGAGAAGCAGTAGGAGGTACGGAGGTAGGAGGTAAGGTAGTTCTGGAGCACGACAGGCCACAGGAAAGCCGTGGCAATGGAAGCAGCCGATCAGCACGACCGAGGCGGGAACAATGATGATGATGATGATGATCAACAATACTATGCTGCGGGTGAGAGAAGCTCGCTTTGGCACGTTGGCACTTTGGCTGGAACGCAGTCGACACGAGGAAGCGAGGCGAGGGTAGAGACTCTAGAGAGTACCTCCTAGCGTAGACGCCGTAGAGTAGTATAACCTGACTCCTACAGTACCTCCTACTAGGAGGTGCTACCAGGTACCAACTCCTACGACAGACTACTTCCCACTTCCTCCTCGTCCCGTGGCGGTCACGCTGACAAAACGTGCGTGCTCCACCCCACGATCCCGAGGACGGGCATGTGACACAAGCGGTTTAGCAGCGGTTTGAAGTGTGGAATCCGAGCTTCATTCTGAAACACTGGCCGCGGCGCCTCCATTCTGCCGTCTCGCCATACAGGCAAGGCCTCCTGGTACCTGTCCCCCCGAAGTTACTATACTGTACCTCTAGAGACTAGGACCAGTGTAGGTCTGGTCTCTTACCGCATAGAGGAACCCCTTCTCTTCCAGTGATCGAGTCTCATTGATTCATTGCCATTATTATCATTATTATGCCTCCCATTCGGTGTGTCCTGTACACTACATTTCCTTGTTCTACTTCTCCGGGAGAGCGTCGTATTATTTCGCTCCTGTTGTACGACTACTACTAGTACTGCTGCTGCTACTACTACTACTGCTACTACCACGGCTCCTACGACTAGTATACTATGGGATAAAAGGGCTCTGGGCCAGCCCTCCTCGCCTGTGGCGCCCCGCCTCTTTACATATATGCTCGCAGGCTATATATAGCACCCCACCGTCCACCAGTCTGTCGCGCGCCTGAAAAGCTTGGGAGCGAGCGAGCAACGAACGGCCTGCGAGGCGGCGGCCCCCCCGTGCCAGTAATAATCTCACCAAAACGGCACAACAGAGGCGAATAAGTGGGCGGCTCCGCTTCTCACCTTCAGCTGGTCTGAACGAGATTCAATCGGGGTTTTTGTCTGGACTACCGAGGAGAAGAAGCAGTACCGTGTAGTAGAGGACGGAGAGAGGGCGAGAGCGAGAGAGAGCAATAGAGCGAGAGAGTCAGAAGAGTGCAGGACGTTGAAACCTAGGTACCGTCTTATTATTTGCAGGGTCAGGTTCGAGACGTGTGCCGGGGGCTGTTGTTGTTCTGGCTGGCTCGCTAGCATCGTCGCAGCAAGCAAGCAAGCAAACCTCTTGGGAAGTGGTGAACGGTAGAAGTAGCATCTACGGGGCCAGAGTGGACGGCACGAGACAGCCACGGTGCGCTGTGAAGGGGAGGAAAGGATGGCAGAGGTCATGTCGGCGGCATCTGCACCATACCAACAACACACGACCGGCAGTTCACCCTCGCCTGCCTCGTTCGGTCTCGCGACGCAGCAAGACCAGCTGGAAGCCGTTGTCCCTTCGAGGACCATGTCGCAAAGGTCGCAGAAACGTGCGGATCGATCAGAACGAACAGGAGGAGACCGTCGACGATCGTCCCAAGCATCGAACCCAATGCCACAGTCGCAGTCGCAGCAGCTGGCGCAACCACCACCTCCTCCTCCCGCTACTCGAACCGATCGATCACGACCGCAATCAGCAGTGCAACCCGCATTCAGCTCGAACCTGTCGTATGCGCAAGTCCGCGACTTTGCATATCCCGCGTACCATTCGATGCATTTCGGTGGTCCCAGTGAGGAGGAGTCCGGTGTGAGCGCGCCAACAGGGTGGGATGCAGGTCGCAGATTATCAGAAAGCGCAGAAAGCAGTACATCAGGGGGCAAAGGATGGCATGCGGGGCCATGGGGTGGGGATGGTGTCTTATATGGTGATCCCGAGCAAGACATGGAGGAATTGCCACGCACTGCATTCGGCACCGCAGGCGATGATTGGGGCGAAGATGAGACATCGTTCAAGGTTAATAAGCACCGCAAAAGCAGATCATTCCACGATATCCCCAATTATGAGCGAGGGCGCCGGAGAGAGTCGCAAGGACGCAGCAAAGCACAGGAAGAAGGGTCGCAATCGCAACCGCAACAGTATGATCCCGCGGGACGCGATGCGTTGCGGCAGAGTCGAGGCTTTATCCTTTCCGAAAATGGGGAACAACTACCTCGACGAGATTCACATTTCGCCGCCACCACTCTGCCCAATCGCAGTTTCCACACTTCACAGCCCGTCGACCCTGACTCCGACCTTCCCCTGGACGCCGAGCCATCATTGCACCATTCCCCGCAGCGAGAAAGCATGGGACCCGAGGACGAAGAGCTGTTCGCGGGCCCGTCACTCGCTCTGTATGGCTTCGAACCCGAGAATGAGAACGAGCTCCGGCTCACCGAGGGAGAGGTGATTATGGTATCGTATCGCCATGGTCAAGGCTGGTTGGTGGCGGAAAAGGCCAATGGCGATCAAGGCTTGGTACCGGAAGCATATGTACGACTGTTGCGAGACATTGAAGGCTGGGACGAAGAGACGGGACAGTTCATCGAAGGAGATCCATTCGGCCCCGATGCAGAAGAGGTCACGACACCGACGGAGACTCCAACAACAACAACAACCACAATCATTCACGGCTAGGAGCTCTCGATCATCACCAGTTCGCTTCCATGTAAGCCTGGATGAATACTATTTCCACCGCTCGAGATACACGTGCATGTTCCATTCGCGTCGAGGACTGGCATAATCGTCGTCGTGATCGGGGCATGTTGTTGTGCCAAACGCTTGGCACTCTCAAGTCTTTCGTGGACGCTGCGACCCAGCCACTGCGCCGCGTGTCAGTTCCTCCATACAGGCAATGCCAAACATGCAGTCTCCCGCCAATTGTGAAGGCGGCAGGGCCAGAGCCGAGCCTCTTCTCGGGACTTTCGCGTCAAACTAGTGCGGAGCCACAAAAGGTCAGAGAGCGTGCGTGAAACAATCTCTCTGTCTTGGGGACAAGCCGTGAGGGAGATCTGTACACGGAGCAGGATGCTAGACCCTGTGCATAAGCTCATTCATTCGTGGTCGCGCAGCACTCGGCAAGTCATTTGGCCTGGCAGTATTGATACCAGGGAGAGAGAAAAGTACAAAACAATGCTTAACCTGGTCCAAGCTATAGAAGGCAAGCTCCTCATACATGCCGAACGACGACGCCTCTGCTTGATGATGTTGCGCCTGTTGGAAGAGGGTCTTCTTGCGGACGTCGCAATATCTCTGAGTGCCTTGACACCGGCATTACTTGTCTCTGCCTCAAGAAGCAATGATAACCTTGCGCGTGTCCGCTGCTGCATCACGTGGACTCACGCAGGCGCATATCACACTTGAGAGCAGACCAAGCAACCATAGGGCCGATACCACAAACACCGAAGTGTACTCACTGTAGTACTCTTGGGAACCGAAAAAGACCGTATGATTATTATCGAGCCAGAACCCTCTTTCTCTCACTCACTCTCCATTGGCTGGAAAGAAAGAAACGAAAGACCTTTTGTCGACTTGAGCCGCCTAGAGAAAGAAATACCTTGGGTCTTATCCGCTCTGATTACAACACACACACATACATTCCCTCCTTAGCCGAGAATGAAGGGCAAAGCCGATGTGGCGTGGCAGGCAGGCATTGCATTTGCAAAAGCGTCCTGGTTGGAATGAATCAGAATCGTCCGAGGGAACCAAACCTTTGCTGCAAATTGAGTGAGCGAGACTTGCAAAGAAGAAGAAGAAGAAGAAGGAGAAGAAGAAGAAGAAGAAGAAGAAGCAGCAGCAGAAGTTGATCCCCAAAATAAAATGGGAGAGAGAGAGAGAGAGCATATGTACATATATCTATCTATCGATATATCTATCCATCCATCCCACCAACCACCAAACCCTCCCTCTCCGCCTCCCTCCCTCAATAATTTATGAATCACTGTGCTGCTAACTAAACACTTGGAGGGAATTTCCAGCCATCATACCATGTACCTTCCTACCTGAGGTATTTAGACAAGATGAAATCAAAATACCTATCTTATCTTACCTACTGTACCTTTTACCTTTCTCTTCTCCCTCTTCCTCTTTATACTGCTTACTGCAGAAGTATGTACATGGCTACCTTACCTTATACTCGCCTTACCTTACTTAAAACATTGAATATATACATATATAGGGATATACATGTAGCGTCAATATCCTTGATACCGTACCTACCGTACCTACCTACCTACCTACCTACCTACCTACCTACCTTACCTGATCTATCTACCTACCGTAGCTAACAAACAGATAAATAAATAAATAAGTAAACAAATCAAACAACTACAATATCTTTACCTACAGCGACTTATATAGTGGACTACCTATATATGATTACCTATTTTTATATTCTTCTTTCCATTTCTTTCTCTATCGGTTTCGTTTCGTGCACGTCGTGTCGTGCACCGTGTCGTCTCCTGGTCTGATATACATGTACATATATCTACATCTACAAGGTAGGGGAGACATGATTCCAGCTGCTCTGCCGGTGGTGCCAATCTCACTCTCACTGCTAGTCAGGTACGTAAAGGGAAAAAAGGAGAGAAAAGGGGAAAAAGAAAAAAGAAAGAAGAAACAAAAGAAACCAACAGCTTTTTACTTTTCATTCCAAATCACTTCATTCTGACCAACATCTATCTTCTGCATACGCGTGTCTGTGTGTTTATGTGTCCCAGACGTGGCAAGTCAGAGGTTCTCTCGTGGTGCACGTTCATTCCATCAAAAAGTGCATCTTCGTCGTCGTCGTTCATGGTTCGTTGTTCGTCTTCGTTCGTTGTACTTTGCCCGAAAAGCCAAATCTAATGGACACCACCTGCCTGCTGGTAGATGCCAGCTATGCTGTGAAGCTGAGAATCCTAACTCTCCCTCCCCAAAAAGGGGGCAAAAAAAAGGAAAAAAAAAAGAAAAAAAGAAAACCGCCCATTCCCATGCTCTGTTCGCATCTACTCGAGACGAATACCAATGAGATTGCATTCTGCTAGAAACGGTTCAGATAGTGGTCACTGAAACGCCTCATTCTGCTCCTCCTCCTCCTCCTTCCCCCGGATTCCTCATCATCGGAAGTGGGGGAATATGCGGGCGGAGCCTCACCCAGAGGAGGCATGATACTATTGTATGCCGGTGGGGCATCTTCGGCATCAGCAGCATGTCGGACATGCATGGGTCTCCGTGGCGTATAAGTCAGGCCTTCGTGTTCCGCACGCTCAATGTCATCGATATGCCTTGCCCAGAGACTGACAAACGGCGTAGTCCCTGCACCAGGGCTCCGTGCGCCGCCTCGTGACGGTGGAGTGGGCGATCTCGTCGGATCCAGGATGGCTCGCCGCTCTTCTCTTCGAGCATCTTCTGCCTCCAGCCTCGCTTCCTCGGCCTTGTCATGTGCCACTTCGCGGTCCATGTCTGTTGTTGGGTCGCTGGAGGATGAGCTACTGCTACTGGAGCTGCTTTCTCTTCTCTGTCTGGCAAAATCCGAAATGAAACGGTCCCTCTCTCTGCCTTCCATGACTAGGAAGCGGACCCATTCCGAAGAACTCAATTCATCGGGCTCGATAGCGCGCATTCGCAGTTGACTGGCAGCGAGATGCCGGCGCTGGATGGAGGCAGCACGATTTGCCACGGCCTCTACCTGGAGCACACCAAAGCCTCCGTTGCGGATGTGAGGTGTGTTGTACATGGCGGGGCGGCGTTGGCCTCTGTTTCGTGCGGGCATGGTGACGGTGTGGGCAATGCAGAGTGTGGTCGTCGGTGGTTCGATTGAGTACAGCGAGGTAGGGTGATATCAGCTGTGGGCGAGGCGAGTCGAAGAAGCAGGCGGGCAGGTAAACAGGCAGGATGTGGACAAGCAAGGTCGGTTCAGGTTCAGCAGAACGCCCACCAACAAAAAAAGCTGGCAGGTGGCAGGTGGTAGGTAGTGTATGTATGATGGCAGCAGGACAACGGTACCGTACATGTACAGGTAAGGGAGGTAGGTAGTTCTAGAACTACCTAAGGTATGCTGTAGGCACGCGAGGGGAGAAGCAGTCGCGTGGCCCACCCTTCCGTATTGTTTGTTATATCAGTACTCATCCTCGCCCAGCAGTGGTAGAGCCAAGGCCCAAGTAACATGTACAGTGGTAGCACAGTAGCGTAGAAGCAGCCCAGCCGTGTCTCCGTCTCATTCTCGTCTTGGAAAGCAAGTTTGCAAGTTATTTCACTCTCTCGCCTACACGTCCACCCCTCACACGTTGAATCAGGTCCCCACCCAACAACTCCAGCTTCAGCTCCAGCTCCGGGATACTACCTCCCCATAAAGAGATACCATTTTCGGCTAATGCTCCAGTGAGATGCTGCTTCATCTGGTGTCTCGTGTCGCGTGGCCATCCATGAGGAATAGCTCTGTGAAAGGAATGCTTGAACATGGCCTGTGAACTGGTTCGTCTCTCTCTCTCTCTCTCTCTCTCTCTCTCTCTCTCTGCTTCTCTCTCTTGGTCACAGGGGAGGGGCACTAACACCATCTCCTCGGCTCCTAGCTACATGTACCTAGCTACCTCCCTTACACATACTTCTCCAGCCATTCATCAACAAACTAGTAGTCTAGCGGGTCCACGCTGAGTGGAGAAGGACATTGACTCGCGATTCATGTTAATGATGATGATGATGCTGCTACGACGCGTACAGTACACTACTAGGTATAATGGGAGGCAGGCAAGCCCAAGGAAGGAAAAACATGTGTCACCAAGCTTTTGTTCCCCGTCGTTCGAATCGATAGGCCTGGGACAAAGCTGTACCTGAACCTGGCCTGGCCGCGGAGAGCCGCAGTGCAGCAACTATTGAAACCTACAGTAAGGTACGATACGATGCGATGCGATGCCTCCTGGTCGATGCGCCATTTAGACGAACTTGCATCTTTTACATTACCTATGTATATATACAGCTGAAGAAGTCGAATTCTGTTCTTTTTCATATTCTGCAATATAAAACTACTTGTTACTAGACTTGGCTCACGAGCTCCCCCCAGAGACCAGAGAAACAAGCACTTGCAAGGCCGTTTCACATGGAGATAGCTTATCTCTGAAGCTGGCCCACGGGCTATGGTGTTATCATCGATGTATAGCCCTGGTTTATCGGCAGAAGGGCATTACTTGGCACCTTGGAAAACAATGCAGATTCACCGCGTGAGGCGCGGAAAATATGTTTTTTTTTTCTCCTTTCACCAACCTCGAAAAACTCTCTCTTGCTACAGACGGGCGCTTTGGAGTAGAACCTAGGGTAGGCGGTCGTGGTCGTGGTGGTGGTGATGATGTGAGAGAATCAACAGGCAATCCATGCTATCGAAACCCTCCTTCGTAGCCCTACATTGTCTTGTTCGTGTCGTGAGAAAACATTATGAAATAGTTCTACAACAGCATTCCTACCATAATGCTAGGTAGGTAGGTACCTCTTCCCGTACTTGAGATCCCAGCTTCAAACAATATCTTGAACGTACTCGGAAGAGAGGAGAGACGTCCATGCTCGATTGCCATACACTCTTTCCCATCTGACTTTATGCAAAGCGTCTCATCTTCAAGGCATCTATGTATGTAGCTTATCTTCATCCCTTCTAATATCAATGAGTTGCCTCGAGCCGAGGGGACCACAAATCCTACAGCGACATGTACATGTAGGTACAGGTAGAGTTAGCATCGGGAATATTATAGATACCTGTCTGTACCTAAGGCAGACATCAGCTATATAGTGAGCAGTCTTCACTCGGCACCGACAAGATCTACCACCTACAAGTACCTCCTGTCCTTCGGCATCTATAGTCTCAATTGTTCCTGCTTCCGCATTGTCATTCATGCATTAATGGATAGAGTTGAGAGATGAAAATGTTTCGTTCTTACGGACAATCAAAAATAGAACTAGGGGAGCCGAAGAGGTACAGGATGATAGAAGGTTGGAGCCAATCATCGAGCTTCATATTCTGATGATTGCTCCTGTGCTCCGATGCTGACCAGGGACAAGCCGACACCGAGCACCAAAGTTCGGATGTGAAGCAGATTATTTGGTTGGAGGGAGTTGTGAATGTGAGAGAGCACAAAAGGCAACTTTGCACAGCATGTTCCCCCTCTACCCCCGTCATCAGCTCATCAAAATATCGTTGGCTAGGTATAAGTATACTACTACATAAAGGACCTGGTGCAGGTCAACTACTTTCCTTTTGATTATTTCGTACCTTCTTCTTCTGCACTACCATACCATACCCTCACCACCACCACACCAACCAGCCAAGAAAACCCACCACCCTCATCCCCCCAAAGAAAAGAAAAACCATGGGCAAACCAATCCACCCCGCAACAGTCCACTTCCCCATCTCCTTCCTCTTCCTCTCCTTTACTCTAGACATTCTCCACTCCACCCGCGCCTCCCTCCCCACCTCCCTCCAAAATTCCCTCTTGGGTCCCCACGACCTCACCTCCGCCGCCCACTCTCTCCTCTCCCTGGGCCTCCTCACCGCCATCCCAGCCGTTGTGACAGGCGGCAGAGAACTCATCACCATGATTCAAAAACAAGGAATGTACGAATCTGATGGCGTAACGGTCAAGACGAAAGTGAAAGCGACGATTGCACATGCTGTGGCAATGGATGTTTTGTTGGCTGTTTCGACTTGGATTTGGTATTCGAGACGACAGGTTTCTGAAGGGATGGAAATGAAGGAATCGACAGACGACTCAGCAGTGTATGCGCATTCTACAAGCTTCGTTGTGGCAGAATTTTTGACTTTGGGATTATTACTTCTCGGAGCGAATATTGGAGGCACGTTGACGTATAATTATGGAGTGGGGTTTTCGAGTTTGAGTAAGGCGGGGAAGAAGGATGGTAAGAAGAAATCCCTATAAAAAAAAGACGAGAGGAAAATAAGAAAGGAAGAAATCCTGAAATGGAAAGCAGGAAAGGAAAAAGGAAAAAAAGAGAGAAACCTATGCTGACTCGATGCCCGGGGTTGTTTTTTCTTTGCTCCAAACAGTCAATTTGAGAGCGGGAACGTATGCGGATGATGACAAGAAGCGAATTCAGCAGGCGCATGCTGCGGCGGGGAGGCCCAAGACTGTTGTTGCTGGTGGAGGAAAGTAAGGTCCCTAGGTATTCTACCTGTGTACCTTGGGTATCTGACCTACCTACTTATCGGAATTTCTTCAAAAAGGCCGAGGAAAAGAGATTGAAACAGGATGGTATAATGTACAATCACTGGTACAATGTACAATGTACTGAGTGAGTGGGATGGATGGATGGATGTATGGATGGATGGATGAATGGGGCAGGATGACAAGGACAGAACGCGAATGTGTACCAAGTGAAAATGTGGCAAAAAACACGACATCAGACAACCCAGACCTTCCCATATTATACTGCATCTATCGACCTTATTACTGACTCTCTCTCTCTCTCCTCAGATGTTCATTCATCGTCATGTACAAGAACAACAAGAACTTTTTCGACCTTTCACATTCCCAGTCTAATCATCTCACTCCTGTAACACGTGAGAATTGCGCCATCTCCATGCAATAAAAAAAAACGCTTCCTACAAACCCATACGAAGAACGCCTCGCTAAATTCCCACCAACCCAAAATTTTCCCCATACCCTCCCCATGATATTATAATGTATAAGAAGGTATGTAGTCAAGTCACATGTGGCCCGCTTCATTCTCAAAGCAGCCGCCCTGCAGACCCGAGGTAGTCGTCCTGCTGTGCTGGCGGTGTGCCATACTCCACACTGGCACTCCCTTCTCGCAATGCCGCCGCTGCTCCAATGCTGTTTCTCGAAATACTATCTTGCGCCCGGTGATGACTCACATAGTTCGATTTGGCCATGGAGCCCTGTCGGGGCCGGTCGTCGACATCAGGTGTGCTTCCATTACTATCGAATCCCTCAAACACATTGGGAGATGGAGCCTGATACGTCGTTCCTCCAGCACCCACATCTTGGCTGAGCGGTCTTCGAGAACTTCTTCGTGGCACCGAAGGCGCCATGTACTGTGACGACTGTGCCTGCTGGCTACTACGCACACTGGTCTGGCGAGAGTGGTCACCCCAACTGAGACTGTCGACCGCTCGAAGCCAGTCCGATCCACCAGCAGTCTCTACCATGTCAGCATTGTTCGGAGCCGCACTACGACTCGCAGGGAGTCGTGAGGGTGCGCTCCCGTCACTCAAGACGCCTGTGGGGCTTTGCTGGTTCGTGGTGAAGCGCGAAGCAGTACTATTGAACCTCGAAGGCAGAGCAATGCTGGGACTACGCTCAATGGGTGCCAGCATCGGAACCGGCTGATCCGAGTACCTGATTCCCGGCGCCTCTACGTCGCCCCCCATTGTGGATGCATCGCTTGCTCGGCGTGGCGGAGTCGGGGCGACACCGATCGAATCGGCATGTTCGAACGTGATGGGCTCCAAGACGGGCATGCCCAGCGCATCACTGTTGGGCCGTGGACGACTGTGTCCTGTCATGACGCTGTCGCGTACATTGCCATATTCAAAGTCGAAACTGTCGCCGGTTTGCCGCGGGTCCGAATCCAAAGCCATCATGTCGGCTGCAGCAGTTGCACCGCCAGAGTGGAAGCCAGGCGTTGCGGGACTGTCTGGCGCGTCATCCATGGAACGCTCGGCACCAGCGACGGCCTGAGTTGGCGAAGCAGGCGTATCAGGCATATCCTGATACAGTTCCTGATGCATACCGGGGCTGGTCGTCATTTCTACGCCGTCTTCCGGCTCTCTGGACATGCCAGGCGGCGCTCTTGCCGATCGCACAACTTCAAAGCCTTTACCCTGATCCTTCGTCTTGCCTCCTTTGACGCCAAAGATCAACTTGTTCAGCCAGCTCTGAGCCGTTGACGCAGGTCCCGTGGGATCTGCCGGTCCAGTCTTCAGCTTTCTCGTGGCTTGCTCGTTCAGAGCCGGACCTCGATAATACTGATCGACTTCACGCACAGCATAATCTGTCCGGTTCGCTGGCTCGTACCTTGCAGTCTCGTCATTCGAGCCCGTCCTGTTACGGATGTATGCTGGCGCTGGAGACCCAAAAGCATTGCTGTCATAGCTGGCATCTCGTGCGTGTCCGCTTGGACCGGTGGGAGAGTCTAGGTACGGGAAGTCACCAGTACCACTGTTCCTTGCGCCAGTGCCCCCGAGGGTCTCGATCGTCGTCTTTCTAGGTCGTGGAGGTCGATAATAACCATCTGTCTCAATCTTGACACCACTCGTAGATGTGCCACCACTCGTCATGGGGTGGCCCTGCTGATTTGCGCTCTCCACGTCGACATCTGGGGAGCTGACAACTTCTCCTCCTTGGCTAAAGTTCTCGAAGCCGCTCATGCGGTTCAAAAGCTGCTGACTGCTGGCCGATATCGATCTACTGCGAGTCCCATACGCAGTATTGGCACCCAAAATCGCAGCACTACTCATCATGCTACCGCGATCAGCAGCATCTCTCGTTCGATCCGGTCGCTTCTTCAACGCACGCCAGTTCAAAATGCTACCTCGAACAGCCCCGTTGTCTTTGTCCCCTCCAGCGCCCATGCTGCGGGCAACAACCTCGATCAGTGTTTGCATCGAGTTTAAGAAGAAGCCGAAGATGAGCACACACGCATGAAGGAGCAGAATGACATATCCTATCCACCCTTTGGGTGCTTCTGTCACGCCCAGGCTGGGCATGAATGCAATCATGAGGAGAATAGTGACCAGTCGGATGGTGGCGAAGAAGGTATGGTATAGATTCATGCTCGTCTGTCCCTGAAACGGCCGGAATCCGTTCAGAGTTAATATGAGGATGACCTCGCATATGGCCAAGACAATGATCTGCGCGATACCAGAGGGCTGAATGGCGCCAATGGCGACTCCGCGCACGAATGTAATGAAGACTGGTACCAGAGCGAATGGCGCTGCGCTATCGCTGTATGTGTTGTATAGAGGCCCGTACAGCAGCACGATTGGCATGTCGTCGAACAGCAGCGTTCTCGGTTTAGTCTTGAAGATGAAGCGCAATATCCAACCGGCCCAGACCACCATGATGAGCAAGAGGATGACGGCGCAGACCGAGACACTGATCGGCGAGCGGGACCAAATGACCAGTTGGAACAAGCTCAGCGCGACAATGGGGAGGATGAAGAAGTTGAACAGCAGCCGGATGATGTTTCCGAGAGTGAATGGTAAATTCTTTTGGCGCAAGTCCTCCTCGGTAGTTTGAGTCGCCATGTGGAACAGCCACCGTCCGACAAATCCCAGCTGACAGAGGGCAACAACCACTGCGGCAATCACAAGGAGCCATATGGCCATACCAGCCCAAATATCAGAGTCGCCCTGCAAGCCCACGAGTTGGCTCATTCTCGTCAAACCATAGGTCGCATTCGTGCTGTACAGCCCATCGACCAGACTCTGTGTGCTACCGCCATTGACGAAACTGTGATTAAACATCAGCGTCGACCAGGAAGCCTGACTGACGGCTGGGCGAAAGAAGCCCGGGTATTGCAAGGTCAGACTTCCAGTAAGCACAATGAACTGAATGTACTGCAGACAGTCTCCAAAGCCGGGAGTCACCAATCTGAGCAAATCTTCATCTCTTCCGTAATTGCTGCTCCATCTGAAGATATCCTCGCTTCCCCACGGTGACCATATAGCGGCCGCCAGCGTCGCCACGCCCTTCAGAATCAGAATGACGGCAGGCAGCCACGTCAACAATCCCACAATGCTCTTTCCCAGATCCGGTGTAATTTGTACGCTGATACAGCCCATGTTGGCCCCTCCGACATCTCCACTGATGAGATGCAGAGTGGTAGAAATGGTGCTGAAGGCGTAGGAGCTGTTGAATGGCTGATTGAGGCTGAAGGCAGGGAGGGTGTTGGGGTCACTTCGATTCGCATCAAAGGAGGGACCCAACGGACAGCTTCCGGTGCCATTGACCAGCGTTGCACAAAACTCCTGCCCACGATTGTGGTGAGCGGTATAGGTCACGACATCGTAGTCGGCAGTCAAGGTGGCGTACTTGTTGTCAGTGCCCACGTTGGCAATCTTGCCAAAGGTATCGTTCTTGTCTCGCCATTGCGGACTGTCCGCAGGGGGATAATCGCCGGTAAACTGCTGACCGGAGACATTGCCGTAGACGGTCAGGTTGAGGGAGCGTGCGAAGCGGTGGTCGGAGAGGAACGAAGCGTCGACCCAGTAGGGCGTGAACTGCAGTTGCTGAGGATCCGAGTCGACGGTGCTCTCGGGAAGGCAATTTTCGAAGGTGATGAAGGCGGCGCGCGCGCTGGAGAGCAGTAACGACAGCAGGGAGAAGCGCGTGAGAAGGGTGAAAAATGGGGCCGACCAGACGCGGCGGCGCGGAAGCGCTCTCATGGCGAGCAGCTCATGAATGGACAGCGGCGGCGGCGTCGCGGAGCTGATGTACGGGCATTGGCGTGGCAGTAGATGTAGGATGGAGTGGAACCTGACACGAACAAGTGGACCGTCCTGGTACAGCAGCTGAGGAGCACGATCCTTCTCGAGCTCGTGCACGGAAGAAGACAGTTGCAGTTCTCACGGCTCTGTAGAATATGTACTACTACGTGTACTATCCTGCTCGGTTGTATGTGTACCTGTACGTGGTTGTACTTTTGTACAAGCGGAGTGGTAGCGACTGGCCGATAAGGTCGATGATAAGGCTAGGAAGTACCTTATGCGGTGGACACCAAGAGAAGGTTGCGCGTGGGATGAAGAATGTATATAGACAGAGAAGGGAAGCCGGCTGCCAAGGATGGCTGCAGTGGGTGATTGAAAAAGCAGTGGATGAAGTGGATGGTAGTCAGAAGCAGTAGGAGTGTAGGAGGAGGTGTAGTTCTACAATAATAATATTGTAAAATAATAATAAATGGAGAATAAAGTCAAAGTAGTGGTGGTGGTGGTGGTGGTAGTGAAAACAGCCGTCTTGTCGCCGTCGCCGTCCAACCCAGCGTCCCCACGTGTGAGGCTGAGCGTGTCCACCGTATGGCGTATGCCTATAATAGAATCGTGCTAACCGTCTAAACAGCAAAAGCTTGGACAGACCCTTTTCTTCTCGAAACCATTCCCTCCCCTCCTCCCTCCCTCGGATCTGAGAAAGCCGAAAAGGGAGAGAATGATGTCGCGACGATATGCATCTGCCTCTTTCCAGTACATGTTTAGGTACCTGGTTACACTGTTACACTCACCATGCCGTCGCCATTGTGCCACGTCTGGCTGCCACTGGAGGTTACATTATAATACGAACCACATACGTCCGATATATATATTCACTATTAGGAACTATACCGTATATAGACTAACAGAACTGCTTCTCGCTATCCGATTATCTTATTCACCAGGTACTAGTGTCTCCTCGAAGCTGTCTAGGTGAGTGAATTGAGTACCATAGTATCTACTATTCCGGATATAAGGTAGTTTTTATAATAGGCAGATTTGGCATGTCTTCAGCACTATAGCGGTTTGCGCCGATAGTCCGAGCATGGAGAAGAGATCGCGTCCTGTGTTGTCCTATCAACTCCCAATGCTGCAGCACAGAGCATGTAGACGTGTCGCATTGTCCCGATCCATCCCTAAGATACGTCTTGCATTTGCTATCTTTCTTCTCATCCCACTGATGTCCCTCTCTGCTTCTCCTTCTCCTCTTCAAACCTGCAAGTCCGGGAACTTTCTCAAGAAGTGACTTGGACACTCATATCCCCCCGGGTTGTGGTTCAGATACATCTGATGATACTTCTCCGCATCCCACCATTCACCCGCCTCCAAAATCTCCGTCACCACTTTCCCCTTCCACCACTGCTCATTCGCAGCCTTGGTGACCTTTTCCGCAATCGCCTTTTGCTCTTCATCATGGTAAAAGATGCCCGAACGGTATTGCGATCCCGTATCTGGTCCTTGGCGGTTCGCAGTCGTGGGATCGTGCATCTTATAAAAGTACTCCAAGAGAGTCTGATACGACACTTTGGAAGGGTCAAAGACGATTTGACACGCTTCGGCGTCTGAAGTTTGGAAAACCACATGTCAGCACACCCAACCTTCTTCACAAAAACTGGGGTCAGAAAAGGAAAAAAAAAACTCACGACCTGTCCTCCCCGAACAAACCGCCCGATAACTCGGATCCTTCGTATCACCTCCAATATAACCCACTCTCGCATCCAACAGCCCACGATCCTTAAAATCATGTCTGTACATATGCTCCACTCCCCAAAAGCATCCCGCAGCAATGGTGGCCTTTTGTGCACCTTCGGGAAGAGTCATGGCTGTCGTGGAGGCGCCTTGTTCGCCGGCAAAGTGCATGGTGGAGCTCGAGAAGGGTCGGAAGAGGCGTTGGATGAAGGACGACATGGTGATTCCGCCTAGGAAGAGGAGCGCGAGAAGGTATTTGTTCTCAATTGTGGATGATGGCGAAAGGAAAATAGTGAGAAGAGTTGTTGTTGTTGGTCGAGTGCTCTGATGTGTAGGTCGTGACAAAGGATGTGTTCGGAGCTACATTACCTGCATGTACTTGGACCTGTATTTATTGATTGTATCCATCGGCATGGGTTCTGTTTACGTCATCGTCTATTTTGCCACCTACCTAGGTACATACAGGTACACTGGAGGTACATGTGTTGCATGTGTACATGTACATACCTTATACATGTACTGCCAACTTCAGCTTCTGCAGCCTAAGGCAGAGAGTTCTTCTGTTATGCATATGGGAGGAAAGAGAAGAACATCGTGAGGCATTAGCTGTATACAGCATATACATTTTACACATGTATATATATACATGCCACTCGGCGCTATCGCTATGGACATACCTCCTAGGTCTATCCCCTCGTTCATTACATCCATTATCTCTACACTTCCACGCTGCGCGAAGCTCAAGTCATTACTGTCGTTATACCATGTACATGTACATGTACCCCTTTACATCACACTACATCGTTCTGCTTTTTTGCTGTCCCAATTCATGACACTGTTCATGCTTGCCTCCTCTTCTTTTCCCCACTGCTCAACAGTGTGGCCACGCGGAGCAAAAGGATCGCTCTTCTGATGCTTTCGGAAGCGTCCCGACTTCTTCGCTCGTTCAATCGACGGAGAATGACTGCTCTTGTCTCCAGAGCTATTATTCTTCACATGCCCATGCCCATGCCCATGAACCATTCCATCCTTGCTGTTGACCGAGTCTGGAGGGGGACTGGATGGCGCCGGTGGATGCCATGCTGTTATGGGATGTCCGGCAGCGCCTGATCTCGTGCTAGGTGTCCGTAGAGGCACATGGTCTCGTGGCTGACCGGGTGGGAACAATGTAGATGAAGCACTAGTGGCAGCGGCAGCAGCGGCCGCATTGCGAAACGTTTGCACATGTGGTGGCAGTCGTCGAGCAGGCATCATTGCCACCGGAGCCGAGGACGCCTCGGGCATCGTGGCAGCGGTAGCTGTTCGTGGGCGGACTACTGCACGAGTTGGCGTCGAGAAGCGGTTGAGATTCGAGCTGGAAAACCTCCTGTCAACGGGCAGATGCTGATACGCGCTGATTGGCGAGATCGCGTCTTCGTCTTCTAAATGACCAGTGGTAGAAGTGGTAGGACGGTTGACAGGACTAATGTTTTGCCAGTCACCAGTGAGAGCTGATGATCGCGCTGGGCCTAGCGGTGACACAGCATTGCTGTATGCTCGCTGCAGACCCCGGGGCATGGCGTCGAAGGAGCCTCCATATGCACTTACGGCGCTCAGAGGTACTGGACTGTAAGATCTGGCCGAATTAGTGCTCGATGTCGAACTTGTGCCAGCACCTCGAGGCAGATGCTCGAGCCGCGCCTGCTGTCGGCCCTCCATTCTGGTTAAGCAGCTTCGGACTGAACTCTGTGTGGATAAAGCCGGACTGTGTGGACGCTGTGCTTCAGCCGAGTCCATGCCTTCTTGTTCAATCTCAATTCTGCGAAGCTCCCTGCGCTCCCGTTCCGCTTCTGTTTGCCTCAGCTCGGCGCCCAGATAGTTACTGGCATTCGCAGCTCTAAACGCAACATCTGCACTGAAGTTCTCGCCTACGTGAGGCGGCGCGGTATGTGGTGCCTGTGAAGACGAGCCGGCAGTGATGCTCTGGCTTGCGGTTCCACCGTCAACGCTGATAACGACAGCAGATTTCGGACGGCTGAACATCGAGGGTGCGTCCAAGCCCGCCATAGCTCTGAAGCGGCTAGGCAGTGGTGCATTCGGCTCTTCTGTGTACTCTGGCAGCGCTAAGAACCCGCTGCTGGAGTCGGCGCTGACATTAGCCTGGGTGCGCTCCTCCAAGGCCTGGAAGCGGTGTCGCTGCGCATTCGTGGCTGCTCGTTGCAAAGAAGCATGTGACCGAGGCTGACCTTGCACGTACGGCACTTCGAGAACCTCATCGCCTGCTTCGGTGCCTTCATGCAGGTCTGGCAGGCTCTTGGTCGCGTCCGATTGTGTGCTCCCGATTGACAGCACGCTGTTGCGATTGGGTTTGCGAACTGCCCCAGGAGACATGGGCCCGGTTCTTCTGTTGGATCGGTTGCCATGCATTGTCGCTGATCTTCCTAGAGTCGTGGGACGTTGATTCAGTGCACTGCTTTTGCTCTGGTTGACGGTTCTCCTCCGCACGAGATTGACCTGTTCATGCATGCTCTTATTCTCTTCGTCTAGTGTTACTGGAGGACTCTTTCCCAGCGTCAAGTTGAATGTCTGCCCAGGCTGGCCTGCAAATTGTGCATCGAAATCGAAGAGGATGATTCTTCCACCTTCAATCTCTTCCACGCTGGCGTCGCTCATGCCGGGTTCCGTGACACCTCCAGGACTCGTCACAATCAAGCGACCTTGAATCTGACTTTGGCTATTTCGAGGCGCAGGGAGCGATGCAGAGCTGTGCACCCACCTCACCTCGCTGAATGGACATCCATATCCCTCGTCCAGTTCATGATCAATGCTATGGGCCTCCAGGTAGTCTTCTTCAGTCTCGGCCGGCACAACATACAGGCGTACTGTTCGATCATTCACAATCATGGCTACAGTTTCTCCATGCTCATTGATCGACGGGCAACTGTGAATCGCTGCTCCTAGACCTCCACATGTCGATAATGGGGGCGAAATCACAACTGGGAAATCTACCATGCCGTAATTCATATCGCTGACGTTCAGTATCCCAAATGTGTCTTCTAAGCCATTCCAGGCGAACACCTTGTCGTTACATGTGGTCCTACTCTCACGCATGAAGGTGGCATGGCTACTATTCCGTATGTTCTCGGGATGCAATAGCCCAGAGCACCATGCTTCCTTGAGCTCCTCGTGGGTTGGATGTCCATCCGGACGGGCAGGAAACACAGGAACCGACACCGTTACCGTTGCTGAGGCATTGATCCTGGTTGTAGTACCAAGAAGCGTAGAACCGTCATCCGAGAACATCAGACGATCCATCCTGGCGCAGCGGACAGCTCTACGATCCGTAGGAAGTGCATTGGGGTGTAAGGAAAACACTTCAATGCCGCCCTCGTAGGCTGCAGCAAGAATGCCTCCACTCGGGGCAAGGGTGATGCAATGCGTCGGAAAGTCGAGAGTAATGGTCTTGGTTCTTCTCAGTTCGTGACCAAGCTCATACACGTTGATCGTGTGGCCGTCTGCCAGAATGGCCAGGGTGTTGCCCTCGTCGGTGAGGTCCACGTCCAGTGGACGTCGCTTGAGCGCATAGTCCTGGCTGATACCCACTGGCAAGGCATTCGTCTGCAGCACATATAGCCTGGCACTGTTGTACGCTGCGATCCTTCTCGCGCCGGCTGATATAGAAAAGCCGAATGCCTCGCCTGTTGGGAACCCTGCCGCAGCTGTCACAGACTGCGAAAAGAGCTTGATGACGTGGATGCGCGGCCGATGGGGCTCGTCGTCCTGGAGCGACTGCCAGCTGTATCGCACTCGTTCCTTTTGATGCGGTAATTGGGTAGTGTTGTACATAGAAGTCCTCTTAGATAATCTCCAGTCCGGACTGTGCATCGACTCCCTCACAGTCGATCGTGGATGGGACTCTGGATCAGAGCCGGTCAGCGCGGAGAACGTGGCCCGGTTCAGGCTCAGATGTGGTGAAGTGTTGGGCGATGGCCCTTGCTGCAGGCCCGGCGAGCTGGGAACATAAGACAGCGGTCTGGCAATATCTCGCGACTCGTACAGTTCACTCTCGTGGTCCTCGTCTGCCTCCTCTTCTTCCTCTTCGTCGTCGTCGTTATGGTCGTGGTGCTGCAATTGCGTAATATGGTCTGGAGCAGCGCTGTCCTGTTCCCCCAGCTCTTGCTCGGCGATTGTCGAATTGGGCACTACTCCCCGGGATCCAGCAACAGACTCTTCTCGAACTGGCGATACTTCGGCATCCTGCTGTCGCCGGTCTCCCTGCAGCGGAGAGCGGTGCTGGCGTGAATCTTGGCTGCTGTCGCTGCTACTCCTTCTCCTCCTCCTACTTGTCTTCCTCCTGCTCCTACTCCTCGTACTACTCCTGCTACTCCTCCCATTATTCCCACCGCTGCTGTACGGATGCGGCAGCGGCAACTGCAAAGAGCGAGACTGATGTTGATGTTGCGAGGAACGAGGTGGTGAAGGAGTTCGTATCGAGTCCAAGTCTCTCTCATCATCGTCGTCGTCATCGTCATCCATATCACTCACTTCGGGGTCCGTGATGTAGTCTCCATCGGCGAGGATGGCCATGGTGGGACTAATGTCTTCCAGCCTGCGAAACACCGCGCCCTCGTCCACACGTCCATCGTGTAACTCTACCGGCTCCAGACACTGGCGACCTCGCTTTCTCCGTGGCTCTTTCAGTGCTCCTGCTCCTGCTCCTGCTGCTGCTGCTGCTGCTGCTGCTGTGTCCAACGACAAGGGCCAGTCTGCTCGTTCGTACACACCCGTTCCATCCAACTCCTGCATACTGCTTCGCTGCTCGTCAGCATTGATCCGATTGTGAGTGGACGTCCAGCGCGATATGAGACGATCTCGAGAACAAGGCGAATGATGGAGCGACGAGAAGGTTGAAACAGGCATGGTGTTGCAAAGATACGCGTGCGATTCATGGACCTATCCGCATGCGTGCTCCCATGGGCATGCATGCAAGATCCTCGTCTTCTGGCACACGGGCACACCGAAGCTTAACGTCTCATGCTGGCAGCTGGTTGCCTCAGATATCATGTCCAGCAGCGTCGTGGCAGAGCTAGCAGAGTCGTCCGTCACGCATCCCAGGCGAGGAGAGCACCGGCACCGCGTGTGGATGGATCCTGTAGGCAGCTCCCTTTTTCGTTGCCTCACCTACATGTCCACCTATCTCACCCAGACCAGAGCACCGGCGGCCTAATAATAATAAACGGTGCATGTGGTTGCTTTGTCCTGCCTGATACCACCTAACTCCCACCTCCCACCTACATGTTAGGTACCTGTACCTCCCACCTCCCACCGAGTCCCACTGTACGTCTCGGTTCCCGGTCATGGTGCTGCAAATGAGCCCGATCGATACACGGTCCCACAGGTCCTATGAAGGGAGGGAGCGTTGCTTGACCGTTGCTGCGTCACGCAAACCGCTATAATATGCAGGCCTAGGGAGCTGCCGTTCTTCTTTCGTACTACGACACCAACAATGATCCTTCACATCCCGTCTGCAGCCACGGTGACCGTCCATACGGGTTGGCATCGGCACGTTGGCAACAGCTGTCTATCACTGCAAACGTCCCCCGCCCTCGTACATCTCATCATCATCATCATCATCGTGACCATCATGTGAGCGATATCAATGTTGTCAACTACATACATGCACACTACACCCTCTTCCAGTTCGCGACCTAGGTAGTGGTAGGATGAGTGATGAAACGAGACCATGGAACGCTGACTTTCTCCTCGCCGCGCTCTAGAAGATCTGCAGAGCTTCGGCGAAGGCCACGGCTCTGACCTCTGATCAGGAGCTAAAAATAGGGGGGCCAGCAATGTGGAGAGATGCTTTTTCCCTCACTGCAGCAATCCCAGCCGATGGATGTACAACTTACTGTACCACATCACATTCGAGTCCTTCCGTCTCATCCATTTCTTCTACACTCTCAACTCACACTGATCACGGGTCGTACTACCACGCTGTAGCACGGCAACGAGACGAGACGAGATGCGGGACCAATCTGCTGATTACACACCTTCATTCATCGAATGCCGTGAGCAAGCTTGAACAGAACCGCCTGCTACTACCTCCTAGACTAGGTACTATTAGGAGGTAGTACATGCAGTGTACAGTGTACACTTTGGTTTCGGCTGTAAAATTGCTTCAATGTACAAAGATGAAGTTCTCCGACCAGGAGGTAGCTCAGAATTAGGTGCATTCTGGAACAATGCTGTCTTTGACAAGCTTTCAGAGCGCCATACCTCTGGGTTAGTGCACGCTTCAAGAGCGGCAATGAAGGGTTTAAAACACAGCCAATGGCAGTCGATAGACGAGGCTCAAATTTCTATGGGTGTTTTCCCCCCAAGGAGGTAGGAGATCTGCTAAAATGATTTGAGCATCGTGCCGACGCCAAACCACCGAGTCAAGGCATACTTTGATAGCGCCTATACGCTTCATTTCCAAGGAGGTATTCAAGTACCTACCTCTTAGAGGAACCAAAATTTTGCTCTCAGCGCGATGGTTCTATATGGCGCTGCCCCTGATCTCCCTGCTGCCCGATGCAGATTTCCTCGCGCCAGTGGGCATGTTGGGCTCGTCTCTGCACATCAAGGAGGCACGCGGAAAGGATGAAAAGACCCACGATGGGACCTTTCAAGCACAGTCCGCTCCCATACCATTTTCCTCACACACGCACTACATGCAACGTTGCCGTTGAAAAAACGCACCACAAGTCAAGCCTCACCGACCACACTTTCCTTCAATCGATCTCATCATGCACAACAGTCAGGCAGGACCTGGACAGGACCATCGTGGCCCCAAACTATCCATCGCACCAATCACAACCCGCTCAACTTCACCTACGCTCCATCTAAGCCCGTTCAATCCCGCGTCACCAGGATGGTCGTTCCCGAATTCTACTAAATCTTCATGGGATATCACGAAAGCATACAACCCGACTCCTCCTCTACCGCAGGCGTGCCCTCCTGCCACGACAATCATCCCGGAGACAGCTTTCTCGGACGCCCCGAACAAGGAACGGCAGGGCTATGCTGAAATCTCCTCGCTGGACGAGGACTTCTACTGCTCTACATGGTTCGGTCGACACTTCACTGGATTGAAGAAGCGATGGCACCGAAGAAATGGACACAAGAAGCGTGGACCCGAGCCACGACATGAGGATTTTGAGAGCAGCCTGTTCACGACCACTCCTGATCCACTTCGTCGTTCGTGCGGCTGGGATAGCTTTTCTACCGGCATGTACCCCATCTCCGTTTGTCGAATTTCGATGGATGGTACAAACATGGATGGTCGAGAGAAATGGATCTAAGGGCGTAAGAGATGGATAATTTGACTTGCATGTTGTATTATGTGTACTATGTGTGTATTATATGTATCATAGGATGTCTGCTGGCAGACAGAAGACGGAATGAGCTCCAGTCATCGAAGGTATGATGACGGTCTCGAGAGCTCGGAACAGGAAGAGTGGCGACGGAAGATAATATTAATGATAATGATGTCGATGACTCTTGTCATGAGAGAAGCAAAAAGGGCAATTTCTTAGCGTCTCGAGTTGTGCGACCAATAGAATAATTACATATATGGATTGTCTTGAGCAAGACATGCACATTGCCACGTTGACCTCTTTTCTCTGCCCAACATCATCACAGCGCCGTGTGTATACAGTCATGATGTACATGTATGTGCTGTTACATTTATGTACTCCCTCACGACGAGCCGCATTGTTGGCAGCCTAGGGCCAGCTCCATGGATGTGTCTCGTGGCTTTTCAACCCCCTCTCCCCTTACCCCCTGGACACCGATAACGTCACTTCACAGACAGGGTCAGTTCCTGTTCCCTGTTCCACAGCACCAAGCGCAGGCAAATGTAGTCTCTGGTTTCGGTTCCCACTCGACGCTCATCACGATGCCATCAGATGATACTGTAGAACGATTCCTAGTCACACAAAGGTAGGACTCCTGCTCTTCTCCTCATTTCGCTTGGTTGGTAGTCGCATGAAACAATCGCATTGTGCCTGTGGACACAGCATAGGTACTTTGTTGCACCTCGATCGCAACCCTGCAGCAATAGCAATATGCCCGAGAAAGACAAGCTGTCCTGGTTGACGCCGAAACGACGAAAGACGACGGGAAGTGTCAAGACCATATCACATGGCCAGATGAGGACCGTGGCAGAGCAAGATGAATCGCAGGCTGCGGAACTGGACGCGTCCCTCCCCGAACCAGCTTCGCTGAGCGCACAACGATCGATCCAGGCATCGAAAGAGCATGGTAGAGATGATAATGACACAGCAGTGCAATTAGCGCAGATGTTGCGGCTCACGGAAATGAATGCAGACAGTGTCAGCAGGCTCGCCAGCCGTATGGGAAACAACCAACATGACCATGGTGGGTACTTCGACACTAGTGCCCTAGCAGTACACTTTGGGAGAATGACGGATCTGCTGGCGAGGAACATAGAACACATGGAAAGCATGTCGCAAAAGCAGTCGGAACATGAGCAGCGATTGACTGCCGCACTGGAAGATATTTCGACGAAACGGAAAGAGGATCGCATTGACCTGGCCCAACTTTCTGCCCATCTCGATCGTGTTAACAAGACTTTGGATAGAAGTCCCACTCCAAGGAAGGACAGCGTGCGGTTGGCAGCAGATGATTCGAGGCCATCGATCGATTTCTCGCCATTAGTCTGGAGATTGGAACAGATGCAGCATGCTATCGAGCAGAATAATGCGCTGACTGCAGAACTTCTGGAGGAGCGATCAACAGCAGATGCCGAAGCACGGTACAAGAACCAACTTGACCTTTTGCCAATTTCAGAGAGTCTGGAGAAGATATATGGAGCAGTCGAGAAGCAGAATTTGCACACCAACGCTCTTCTCGAGATCTTGCGTGATGACAAGGATGACTCGTTGCAAACGGCAAAAGCCAATGGCGAGACGCTTGACCGCATCCTGCAGGCTCAGATGGAGACGAAAGAGGCTGTGGAACACAATGGCGGTGATGTGGATTTCGAGCCTGTAGCACGACATATGGATGCCATCCGGGAGGTCGCGACTGAAAACACGGAACAGATTCGGATATTGGTTGAATGCCAGAAAGACCACAATCAGTCGAAACCAATTGGTAGGCCGGAGAGCCTCAATCTCGACTTCAGCCCCATGACAGACCGGTTGGATCGTGTACATGCCACTCTAGAGAAATCGACGAGCCATCTTCAAACACAGACTCCCGGCACCGGCGATATGAAATTCCTGATGTCTGCACTTGCGTCCCATCTCAGCAAGATACAGGCTGTCACCGAACAGAACGCCAATGCTATCAAGACTGTTGCGAGTAACCAAGCGCTCCCAAACGCAGCACCTCAAGTATCGTCGTCGAATGACAGGACGCACGAAGCAATCCGAGAGACGAACGATCGACTTCAAGCACTTACAAAGATACTCACAGAACGAGAGCTCGACGCACCACCGGTGGGAAAAGTCCAAGACAAGCTCGCACGACACCTCGAAGAGACTTCCTCCCAAGTGCAAGATCTCATGGCCGCGCAACGAGAAACGTTCGATGTTGTGCGTGAACTGGCGATGAGCATCACAAGAGAAAAGCGTATCTGCGACCATATCGTCACGCCTCCACCGAGGAAAGTTGGCAGGAAGATCTTGGGTTACGTGTATGATGGGAGTGAGGCCGTCCGCTGAGGTGATTTGGACTGTACGTTCATTCCCTGGACCGCCTGATTTGGTCTCGAAACTCTGAAACACTGGACCTCGCAGTAATGCGGTAGAGTATAGCACTCTTCAGCTTTCAAGCTGCCTTGAACCTGGCCGAGGTTCCGAAGATGAAGAGAACTAGGGCTGGTTCAAGCAATTCCTAGTTCAGCTACGGTCTAAGGATGCCAGATTCCTGATTTCCGAGACTGTTGTTCCCGATCAAGAGCTTATCCAGTATAGAAGGACTAGGTATCTCGAGGAGAGCTCGGTGTAGTGCAGGATCAAAGAGCAGTCTAAAGTATAAAGGATCAAATAATAGACTGACTAATACTTGATAATTCACCGAGAACAGTCAATGCTTATATAAAAAGCATAAGGCAGTAATCAGGATTGCGCGCGAGTGAGTAATTAGTATATAACCTCGCTAGTAGAGGGCCCTCGAGAAGTACTACTTGCTGTAGCTTAAGCCTAGAGACATTTAAGCATACGAACGCTACTATATAGTCTAGAGTACTAATAGCTCGCCTGAAGTCGATTTGTGCTTTTCTATTACCTTAGCCTAATGACTAGGACTGTCTTGCTTCGTTCTTGTTATATACTTCTATCTCTTCCTATTGTTCTTTTCTCTATAGAGATAAAGGAGACACTATACAGATGTTTGAGGTTGCTAGTAGGGAAATAATCTTTGCAACCTGATATTCGCTATAGCTGGACAATATTTTCAAAAGCAGCTTCTTGAATGGTCCTTAGCTAGGCTGTTCCGGCGTTCCTATTGTAGAATGATGTATATGTCTAAGTAAGGTGTCTATGAATTATAGTACCTAGTTATCGGATCTAGAGTATAATATATAGAATATTGGAGTACCGGATCATGTATATCAATAGACGTCTATCGATAGTAGAGGATGAACGACGCGTCAGGGACGACGCGAAGTGAATAAGGTAGGCACCCCACTGCTATGCCAAGCCCGAGTCTATAGGTGTACCTTACCTAACCTATATGTACCTCACCTATATGTACATAACCTTCATCCTCTATCTCACTCACCCAACTACAGGTAATCGCCCGTCCCTCCAACAGCAACATGGATCAGTCCAAGGCCATCAACGCTCTCGCACCCTTCATTGCCCTCGCCAAGTCCGCCAACTCGCCACGAGCAGCAGCCGATCTTATCAACCAGGCCACTTCGGCAGCCAATACCTTTGTGTTCGCCGAGCTGTTGCAGCAGCCTAACATCCAAGCTCTCGCCGGCAACGAGCAGTACGCTTCTTCACTCACCCTGCTCCAGAAGTTCGCTTGGGGTACGTGGAAGAGCTATACCGCTACGCCTGGTCTCCCTCCACTCTCCGATGCCCAGGCTCTCAAGCTCCGACTGCTCTCCCTCCTCACCATTGCCTCCGAAAAGGGCGCAGCTTCCAACCTCAGCTATGCCTCACTCTGTGCTCGCCTCGATCTCGGAGACATAGTCGATCTCGAACACCTCGTGACGCACGCCGTCTACAGCAATCTCATCACAGCCACCCTTAACCCCGCGGCACAGACCGTCGTCATCACCTCAGTTGCGCCACTCCGAGACCTTGCACCAGGCAGCCTACAGTACATGATGGCCGAGCTTGCCGCCTGGAGTGGGCGTTGCGACGCTGCGCTCGAGCAGCTGGAAGGCGAGATCCAGAAGGTCAAGGCAGACGCGGAAAAGCGGTTGAAGAGGGAGGCAAAAGCTGAGAAGCAGATCAAGGCTGTGATGGAATTGACCGAGAAGCCGAGCAACCTCAGAAGTGAAAGCAGCGGTGGCAGTGGCAGTGGAGGTGCAGGTGCCATCCCGGGCCCGCGAGCTGGACCGATCTCCCGGGGCACCAATAAGAGAGACCAGGCTGATGATGAGGATGAGTATGAGGATGTCATGGATGTCGACGATAGTACGCGTCCGTCGGGCGGGAAGAAGAAACTTCCTGCTTTTGGTCTGGGCAGAATGGCTGGCAAGGGATCAAGGTAGCGACTGTCTAGCTTGCTACTTGCTGTTGACGGGAACAGCGATCGAAGGGCGATGGGAAAGGAGTTCCCTACGACCAAGGCCTGTCGCACCTCTCTCTAGGCTCGCTCGCAGCTTGCCTCTTCAGCTCGAAAACCAATGGAAAGGCTCAAAGACGTGGTGCTACATCCCGATCAGACTCCGACTGCGATATGGTTGCTGCTTCTAGAGCATGTTCGGGATCGCTTTGAGCAAGTTCATATCCGTCTTCACCTTCAAACTGGCACAAAAGCCGATGTCGGGGTGAAAGGACTCGATAAGTGTGTTCTCAGCGTAAGTTGCTTCGAAGAGATGACACCAATACCGTGGCTGAACGTTCGTACAGAGACGACTTGCCACTACCATGGTGGACACTACCTTATGCTTCAAGCACGGCATTTCATGAACTGAGCTCGTTTTGAAAAAGGGCCGAGACATTGACTTCCTACCACCAAAGGAGTACATGACCGCCAAATGAGTACATATAATTGGTCGGAAACTTGGAGCATTGTCAAAGCATTGCATTACCAGGTAGTGTCAAACTCAGCGATGAACCATTCTGCATTGGCCCTTCCAATACTTCAAAGTCTATACATCCTCTGCCTCTTCCCCATGTCGTCCGTCACTTACCGGCGTATAATCATTCCTGAAAGTCCTTGCCTTGCTGGTACTAGATCACTCCTACTGGGTCGCATGCATCACCTACCTTGCTGTGCCTACAACATCACTTAAGCGAGAAGACCAACAGCCAGAGGAAGACATGTCCAGTGGATAGACGGTGTCCCGAAGATGGCATACTACTCTCACCTGCAGCTCCATCTGCTGCAGCAGAAGGAGAAGTAGTCTGACGGATCGAGCTAGACGATCCGACGCTGCTGCCATCTGCACCTCACGAGGAAAAGGCAGCATAGTATGGTGTCCCTCCCGCTGTAGCGCTCCCCGTCACCGTTGTCATCAACGCAGAATTCTTCATCTCTTCCTGTAGTACATGTAGCAGCTACGTAGATAGCCGGCTGGCGCGCTACCACCGCTTGCTCACATTCGTCTATTTCGCCATCGAGGGTCGTCTGCTGCGCGTTGGCTACACAGTCTGCGCGCAATCTAGTTTGTTTGGCCGTTCGTCGAGGACTTGGCCGGCCAAGGTGTAGGCAACCGTGGACGTCTGGCCGCCGCTTGTCTGGACGAATGTTTGCACGGGTGGCATGAGAGCGCCGACTGGCTCCTGATGCTCCTGATGCGGCTGTGGAGGTTATTGATGAGCAGTCGGATGGGAAGGCGGAGGACTTGATGAAGTGATGGAGGAGGGGGTGGAGAAACTCAGCACGCAAGGGGGCCTCGGTTCTCGGCCAAGTCCAACCTTCACCACCTCAGACAAGACAACACCATCGCGACTCTTTAGCTTTTCATCTTGTGACTATGTCACCTTTGATATTGTCCGGCTCAGCTAGAACTACTCACCTACATGCACCATTGCAGACTCTGCTGCTCCTCTTGCCACCAGCCATCCGCGCCCTCAGCTTCGGTTCGACAATCAGTCCAGGTATTTCTAGCCGAAGACAACTGATATCCGACCGAGGCCAGCGACCACATTCACCAGAACATCGAGTAACTTCGGGTAGAATGTCCTCGAAGCCAAAGGAGCCGCGTGCGGCGACATCTGTTAAGAGCTACTCCACGACTCCGCCCAAGGACAAGAAAGAGCCTGCAGTGCCCCGACCGTCTTCATCAGTCTTGCTCATCTCGCCGAACAACCAGGTTCTCCTCTTACAGCGTGTCAAGCAATCTTCCTCCTTTCCTTCTGCACACGTCTTCCCGGGCGGTAATGTCTCCGAACTTCACGATGGAAAAGCACCAGAGCCCAGCCATCCTCAGCGCCACGAGGACAGTGAGATGTACCGCATGGCGGCCATCCGTGAGACGTTTGAGGAATCCGGCATTCTCCTGGCACGAAACAATGGCTTCGGCAGACTCATCGAAGTGCCTCAGGATCAACGCGAGGAAGGTCGCAAGCTAGTCCATGGCAACCAAATCCCCTTTACGAAGTGGCTCGCACAAAAAGGCGGTCGAGCAGATATCGATGGTCTGACGCCCTTCACCAGATGGATCACGCCAACAAATGTCCCCAAGAGATTCACAACCCAGATGTACCTGTACTTCTTACCAACATTATCTTCAACTCCGATTTCAGAAGGTTCTGGCAACCCTGATGACTCGGAAGCTGAAGTGGACATTCCGTCGCCTACGACAGACGGTGGCAAAGAACACACCACTGCCAGATTCTTACCCGCATCAGCGTGGCTGAGACTTGCGCAAGAAGGGAGGATCATCATGTTTCCACCGCAATTCTTCTTACTTCATCAAGTAGCACAATTCCTGGATGGCTTGAAATCTCCAACGGATTATGCATCCATTTCGCGCGAGGAGGTGCCGAGAGAAGAGTTGGAATTGCGGCGAAAGAGGCTTCTGGAGTTCGCGAAGTCGGGCGATCCTTCGTATGTGGACGCCTGCATCTCTCCCACGACTATGCCGCCGCCTTATGGCAAGAAGCGGGAGGACGGACGACAAGTGCTTGCATTGAACCGCGCTGGGCCAGAACTACAAGGGACAGCGCGAAAAGGTCCGAATGACCAGTGCGTATTGGTGGACTTTAAAAGAGAGGGACCACGAAGGTTGGCTGTTATATCGAGAGCTGAGGCACTTGGAAGCGATGCGAAGCTGTGATGCTCTTCTATCTATACGGCACTCGACTACAATCTTGGCCCCTTTGTCCGGCTGCCTTCAGCCTATCCCGGATCGCAAAAGCCGATCTCAATTCATCATCCAGCAACCACTATACTCAGATGCACTGGTCTCCACCATATTGTTTGCGGTCGACCAAATGGCAGTCTTCGATTTCTGGAACCTGACATAGTCTGCGTGCTCCACTCGTGTCGACAGTATACACGTAAAGACAGTGATGGGTCTCGGCATATACCGCGATCAAGAGAAGCTTCTGCGCTGGACTCTCACATGCTCACCATGCCGGAGGTGTCCATGAATCGGACTAGCAGAGGCATCCACCGAAAACGACAGCACGCGGCGTGGCCGAAGCTGCAGGAGAAGAGATGTGTTAGCCCAGACTTGATGAAATTGTAGTCACAGTTTGTACGGGAGGTGATCAACATCAGATTATGCTTTTTTCGGCACTTGTTGGGGACCTTCTGGGGAGCCTCTACGCCTGTCGAATTTTTCATCATGTTCGAAGTTTGCGGGAAGGGATATACACTCACCGCCAGACTGCAGTCGGACGCTTCAAGAGTCAAATGAACCAGCAAGGGAAGCCGAACCACGATGATGCTGCAGTAGAAAAGATGGTGTCAGCTTGCACCTGGCGAGAATTTGGTTATGAATTGGATGGGGGTTGGTCAACATCAGATCGTGTTTTTATCGGCACTTGTTGGGGACCTTCTGGGGAGCCTCTACGCCTGTCGAATTTTTCATCATGTTGGAAATGCTCGTTGGAAAGGAGTCTCACTCACCGATGATCACTACTGGATGCTTCATGGACATCCGCGACCGTACGAGAGGTTTGCAGTCGAGGCGCGTTCTGAATGAACGCGTGGAAGTCGTGACTTGCGGCTCACATGACGACTCTCGAGTGCAATTTGCCAGATGGAAGCTGTCAAGCAGGTCAGCAGTATACCATGCGCCGTAAGCTCACAGTGGTAGGGGCAAGGTAGCAAGGTCAGATATCGGTTGACTTCAGAGCCATGAAGCTCAGCGCAAAAAGAGAAATTTGGTCATCATGCAAGTGGAATGGCGGGGGAATCTTGCTTACCCGGCGACGACTCTGAATCCCAAGGCGCGGAATCGCGGAGGGCAGGACTGTTTGGCAGATCTGCGGGTGGTAGTCGACTGGTGCCTTTCGTCTCAGGTCAGCATCCTGGAAGAGCGAAGGCGTTGGATTAGAACGGTCGTATGGGCTTTCGACTAGCTGGACAATTCTTACCTTGACCGCCGACAATGGATATCGATCTGGACATTACGCCCGAGAGCACGGCAGTTCTGGAACCTAGCTTCCAATGGTCGCTGTGGCTATTGCATAGTACTGCATTGAGCTTGTGACTTTTGTTCGGTGGAGGTGGCCTGGCGAGAAGTTTGGAAAGGCCGCAGGTGGTTGGTGGGCGAACGCGCGGACGTGTTCTGCGAAAGGCGTCAGCAAATTCCAAGCAGCGAGGATCAGTCGTGCGGCAGAGCTATGGACAATTTTCTCAGAACAGCTCGGCTCGTTCATTTCATGGCCTCCCATAAGTAGCGAGCGCCTGGGAGACTTCTGTCAGAGCCACCCACAAGCAACAGGTGCCGGGATAGCTTCTGTCAGAACTCTCTCACAAGCACAAGCTCCGGGGGGCCTTTCAAAGTGTAGTATCTTTGAAACCGTGTTCTCATCATTGAAGTCGTCGGGGTCGGAGGGTACAGGGTACTTACCTTCAACATGACGCCGCGGCTTGTTGGCGATGGTCAAGCCGCCAATGGACGAAAAGGCTCGCGGTACTGCTGCCGGCGGCGAAGGTCTTGTTGGAGATGAGGGAGTTCGGAGAAGGCGGCGAGAACTGGATGAGCACGCGAACATCAGCAAATCTTCGAAAATGAGGACCATGTGTGTATGGCAGTGCGCTGGACGAGACTGTCAGATTCACTGTGTGCGATCAACGCCTCCCACAAGCATCAAGTGCCGGGGTGGCTTTCACCCGGTTCTTATCGATTCGGCGCTCTGTGCAGTGGATGTCATCATCTCGTCGACCAAGGCTGGAAGCCACAGGATACTTGCCTTTGGTAGAGCCGACCGCGGGCCTGGAGCGAAAGGAGAAGAAGATGGCGTTGTCGTTGATGATGATGATGATGATGGTGGTGGTGGTGGTGGTGGTGGTGATGCTGCTGCTGACGATAATCAGTAAAATTTCAACAATGAGGACCATGTGTGTGTTTGTGGCAGCGCGCTGGACGAGACTGTCAGAGTCATGGTTTGCGATCAATACCTCCCACAAGCATCAAGTGCCGGGGTGGCATCTGTTAGAGCCGCCCACAAACATCAAGTGCCGGGGTGGCTGTTCTCACTGAAATTTTTCATTGTAGTAACGAAGGTAAGTGTAGAGGGAAATCATCATCTCGTCGACCAAGGCTGGAAGACACAGCACACTTGCCTTTGGTGTGGCCGACCACGGTTCTGAAGCGAAAGGATGGGAAGATGCCGTTGATGATGATGATGATGATGCTGCTGCTGCTGCTGTTGCTGACGATGGACGTGTTGATGGAGGCGGGAAAAGGAGGGATGAAGGTGATGCAGAGAGCAAAGTTGGTTGGAAAGTTGGTGAGGGAGAGTGAGAGAAGGGGAGCGGGCATTGTTGTGATCACGAAATACGAGCTTATTGACGCGCTAGTGTTCGTTGCCTCAGCTGCAATAGACGAGCGGGAATCATGCAGGCAGGCACACCAAACCGCACCAGTATGCCACCGAGCCCGGCCAGTCCTCTGCAAAAGCCATAAGCCCCTCGCCAACACGCTCGCCACTGTCCTCCTGGCCATCTTCGTCACGGCCCTGGCGCCGGCCTTGGTCGTCTTTGCTGCCCACGCGAAGCTTCTCCGGTAGATACGGGGGAAGGGAAAGTACAACCCGCCATCCAAGAACATAGAGCGAAATGGGCGAATAGCAGGCGCTTCTCGACCGGTCGAAACCAGCAGATCTTCCAATAAAGTAGACAGATGAATCTATCTATGCTAAACTGTGACGTCCTAGGACATGCCAGATGGCGCCCATCCACCCTCCCAGTTATCCTACAGATGGATGTATGGATCTGTCCGCTAGGACAACGAGAAGAAATAGCAGAGAGAGAGAGGAGCGGGTAAATAATGGTATACAGCATATATTCATGGTCTAGCATCAGCTGATAGACGGACAAGTACTCGGTAGAGAAATGCGAGGTGTGCCATGGTATGATATGATATGATCTGAGCAGATTTGGTCTATTCGTGAATTCATTCACCATGGGATTTTTTTGATACGGATGACGACAATCAGAGGCTAGCTACATGTATATGATCGACAGCCGGCTGCGTGGAATGTGCTGGATTGAGCCAGGGGACTTCGAAGCTTGAAGATCTATTGGAGATATATCATCTGGTTCGGGCAGAGGCCATGGGATAGGACGGCTCAAAGGACGAAAAAAAAGGAGGCAAAAATCTGTATGTGTTTTGTATATGATGGTGACTGGGGTTATGAAGATTGTGGATACATGTATGAAGATTGTAATGGATATGATCTCAAGGATACCTACAGTTACATGTAATCAGAGGGCTAAATCCGCTCCTTTTGGCGTAAAATCATGGAAAGGAGACAGATGACAGTCCGGTAAGTAGGTAGACGATATATAGATGTATACCTACCTTATATATGTCTGGTGGTAGGACCAAGGGCACAGCGAGACTGCATGAAGCATACCCTCTAGGAACATGTAGTGCGAGAAGTATAGACCAAAGTCAACACAGGGGCAAGGGTGTGCCCTACCTCCCTCCTAGCCCTAGTAACTTTTCTTCACCGACCTCGCACTTCCCAAACGCGGCGACAAAGTGCTAATCGCCGAGAGCTTAGTTAGCTTCCAATTATGATTGCAACTCTGTCACAGGGTGTGTCACACGGACATGGACTCTTCGGTCTGTTCCAACTACTCTACATATTTCACTGCATATTTCACTGCATATTTCACTGCTGCTGCTGCTGCTGCGCCTCTTTACACCGCTTGGGGAAAAGGCATTGGCCCGGTCTCTCTCCACCTCTCTCTCTATACCTCTGTCTGCATCATTTGCGTACTCAGATGGGGGTTCCTCACTTGAGAAATTGATATCTTACCGATCTTCTAGTCTAGGACAAGCTGCCAACATCCGGGCACAGGACTACCTATTTCTAGTCGTCCTACGCCATGGCGCCTGCCACTCGCCGCCGTGAGCGGAAACTACCCGTTCAGCAGCTTTCTATTCTGGGTGAGTTCACACTCTCTCTCTCTCACTGACAACGCTACACCAGTCCGTGACATCGCTGACACCGCACTTCCTCGCAGCAATATGTCGTTTCGCCGAACCGCTCGCCTCGACGTCGCTGTACCCATATCTCCCAGAAATGGTACAGAGCTTCAACATCCCCCAGAATGAGGTGGGCAAATGGGCTGGAATCTGCGCCGCGTGTTTCTCGCTCTTCCAGGCCTTGTTTGGCATCCCATGGGGCCGCTTCTCCGATCGATATGGCCGCAAGCCTGCCATCCTCCTCGGCCTCACTTCCACCATGCTGACCAGTCTTCTCTGGGGATTCTCGAAGAATCTGCCCATGGCGATTGTAGCAAGAGCATTGGCGGGCGCGGGTAATGGTAATGTGGGCATTATCAGGACGACGGTGGCGGAGATGGTACCCTTCAAAGAGCTGCAGCCCAGGGCGTTCAGTCTGATGCCGTTGGTGTGGAACATTGGTAGTATATTCGGTCCTACGATAGGCGGCTCGCTGGCCAATCCACTCAATGTGAGGCCGGGTGAACACACGGATAGCAAGAATCTCTTCGCGCAGTTTCCCTACCTTCTACCAAATCTGGTGAGCGCAGCATTCTTCGCCGTGGGCATTACGACGGGAATCTTGTTCCTGGAAGAGACACTCGAGAGCGTACAGGGCAGGCGAGACCATGGCTTGCTCTTGGGCAAGACCATCTCGAGCAGCGTCAGGCGCTCTGTGGCCAAGCTACAAGAATTTCTGCGCCTTCGCTCCCCCAGGTCTGATAGGGGACTACACGCAGCTGACGAAACCGACCCTCTGCTGAAACGTCCCGCATCCGCCGACGACTCAGAAGCAGCGAGCGTGGCATATGAAGCCAAGCCGCGAGTGGCAGCACCGACATGGAGAGAAGTCATGAACCGTCAAGCTTTCATTAATTTGATAGTCTACACCTTGCTAGCAATGCATGCCATGGCATTCGACCAACTCATTCCGGTCTTCATGCAGCACGACCCCATTGGCTCACCTGATAGCACGCCCTATGAGTTTCCTCTCAAATTCGCCGGTGGATTTGGCTTGGACCATTTTCAAATTGGACTGATGTCTACTGGCTACGGCATCGTAGGTGAGTATCGCTCGGATCTGGGGCCCGCACTTTTCCCTGGCTAATCTTCTGCTAGGCATGTTTGTGCAGTTCTTCGTGTTTCCGCCTCTGGCACGAAAGTATGGTGTTTTGATCTGGCTGAAGATAGTCGTCATTGCATTTCCCGTGATATATCTGCTCACGCCATTTACCGCCCTTCTGCCCACCATAGGAAGCCAGGTAGCATGCATGTTCACGGCCATGATGCTGAAGTGCCTGTGCGGCATCTTTGCCTTTCCGTGCTCCACGATATTACTCACCAACAGTGCGACGAGCTTGCGCACACTGGGAACGCTGAACGGTATCGCAACTAGTGCCTCGGCGCTGGGGCGAGCAGCAGGACCTGCACTAGCTGGCTTGGTGTATAGCGCGGGTGTCAAGAAAGGATATGTCATTGCGCCATGGTGGTGCTTGTCCTTCATTGCCATCGTTGCTGCAGTCCCTGTCTGGTGGCTTGTAGAAGGGGAGGGCTTCGGTGGCGACAACGACGAGGTTTCAGACGACGAGGAAGAAGACGAAGATGAAGATGCAGAAACCGCAGAGGCCTGGCAGGCTGTTATTACAGAGTGCAGCGCTGAAGCCCAAGGCAAATCACGAGTGCCGGGACCCATTCCTCGCGGTATTTCGCAAGCTCACGAGGATGAAGAGAGCCAGCAGGAAAGATCATATGGTGGCCTTGCACCGCTGACGAGAACAAACACCACAGGGTCGACTGTCATGATGAGCGATGCCGATGACGACGAATATGACAACAGGAGTGGCACTCCGAGTCGGACACGAAGCAGAAGGGCTTCTGGTGCTGAACGATCTGATGGGGGAGACTCTCCCAAAGTATCAAGACGAGGCTCAAGTCGCGTCAAGCGACGCATATCCATACCTGTCATGGGTAGCGCAAGTCGTCGCTACAGCAGCAGTCTGGGACAGTCGTTTGGATCTGCTGGTGGGTATTGAACGTGCAGACTGTTTATTCCATCACTCGGGTATTGCGGGAAAGGTTAAGGGAAGCGAGGAGTTTTTGGATCATATGATGATTGTATGTAAGTAATGGTATCAAGAATGTTAGACTGCTGCGTCTATTGCTCGTAACATGCGTGCATCGTATTTCTCCCCTCACTCACTTGACATGCACATGATGGTTAGGTATTCATTGGGTCAGCGACGACGACGACTGCTTCGAGGCCGACGTCGCACTATAACATGTACCAAGCCGGCACCACTGTGCCGTTCACACCGCGATCGGAGAGCCTCGTAGTCCTTGCATATATGGAGGGCCTTGTCTCCCACGGTATGCCTACCTTGGCTATATAAACCCAAAAGACTTTTTTTTTTTTTTTTTTTTTTTTTTTTTTTTTTTTTTTTTTTTTTTTTTTTTTTTTT